CGGCTACCGGCCGCACCCACTCGGCGCCGCCCTGCCCGCCCCACTGCAGGCCTCGGCTGCCAAGGCGGGCGGCCCGGGAGCCTCGGCGCTGGCGCGCTCGCCCTTCTCCATCGAGAGCATCATTGGGGGCAGCCTGGGCCCGGCCGCCGCCGCCGCCGCCGCCGCGCAAGCCGCCGTTGCCGTGCAGGCCTCGCCCTCACCCTCTCCGGTGACGCCGTCCGCGCCCGCGCCCGGATCCGCCGGCGGCGGCGGCGGCGGCGGCTGCGCGGTTCAGGCGGCCGTGGGCCCGGCTGCCGCGCTCACCCGCTCGCTCGTGGCCGCCGCGGCCGCCGCCGCCTCCTCGGTCTCCTCGTCGGCCGCCCTGGGGACTCTGCACCAAGGGACTGCCCTGTCCAGTGTCGAGAACTTTACTGCTAGGATTTCAAATTGTTAATAACGCTATGTTAGCGCGCTTGGGAGAGAAGGTAGGAATCCCGGCTCCTTTTTTTTTTTTTCTTTTTTATCTTGGTGGTTTGGTATTTTGTTCGTTCCTCCCGGCGCGGCCCCTCCCGACCTCGCGCCCCCATTTTCGCCGCTTGGGATTCTCAGACCAGACTGTGTTGGGCAGCAGCTGAGGCGCGGTTTTCGGCTCTGCGGGTCCCTCTATTTATGCAAAGTCGCCCTATGCTGCAGCCCCCCCGACCCGGGGTGGGGAGGAAGAGGGTGCTGGTGGGTGCCCTCCCTTGTGTAAGCGCAAGGGGCTTCCTTGACTTGTGGGAAATTAAAAAAACAAAAATCTAAGCCTTTTTGAGGTCTAGAGATTCTCAGGTCCAGGCGTAAAAGTATCAATAATGTTCAAAAGAATGATACACAAATAGTAAAGGTCCTGAAGAGTGCCAGCGGAGAAGCAATAGTTTTTACTTGAGGACACTCGTCTGGTATACTTTTTCATGAAAAGGAAAAATAATTAACATGTTTACACAAGGAAAAAAGTAAAAATTACCATTTCTTATTTTAACCTGTGTTTTGTATCATAATAGATATGCGGAATTTTTATTTTGTACTTACTACGTATTCTTTACAAGGAGTATTGTAAATTTTACTGGCAATTATTGTACTATTCTAATGTAAGATTTTTACACTTTTTCAGAAATAAAATGCTTAATTTTCAAAGAAAATCCACCAAAAAATTGGCTTCAGTCGTCCCCTTCTTATTTTCTTTTCTGTTAAAAAAATTTTTCTATGGGAGCTAAGTAGGAACCCAATATAGAATAGAACATTTTATTTTCAAAGAGAACTTAACAAAAGCATCATGCCATGATTTTTCATTTAAACTTTCTAGGTCAAAACCATTGCAAGAAATCAGAAAATACTTTTAAATGATTACAATAGAAGAAGTTACTTTAGTGTTCATTTTCAAATCTCATTCTATTCCGTTTTGAAGAACATTGAGGCTATTAAAATTAACGCCACAGTTACCCTCAGATAATTTTATAGAACTTTTAATTTTGTTTTTGAGTTTCCCACCTCATTTGATTTCCACTTGCTTTTGAGCACAATATTGTATATATCTATAAAAAGTCTGCAATACAACATTATATCTTAATGAAAGCAGCACAAGCAAATAGGCAATTTTTAGTTTAAAAAATTTAATAGATATGATCAACACTCAAGTGGCTTTGAAGTCCTGAATAATATTTACATATATAAAGAAAACTTTATTTGAAAGCTCTAGTATTTAAAGCTACTGTTTTCTTGACAGAAGAGATTCCAGGAATTACATAAAGAAATTTTTATTCTAAAAGGCAAACAGTGAAATTCTAATTTAAATGAGTAACTTAGGGTATGTAAGAGAAATCTTCAATTTTAGGGTAGCACACACTTTAAGAATAAAAATGAAAATGTATCGGGTGTTTATTGAAGTAATGATACAATTTTTGTGATTTGGATATATTTTTTCAACTTTTGAGTGTTTTCATTAACTACTTGTTGCAGGCAATTTCTAGTTCTTTAAAAAAATGTGAGACTCTAGTTTTGATAGATGTTATCGTGGGCTCCAAATAAAACCAAAGCATATGTAATATGTAATTTAAATGCTTAGTATCAGTGAGTTGCAGAGGAGGTTAAATACGTTTATTAAATTCTTTTTCAAAAATCTAGACAGGTATGTACCTGAAGATCTGCACAATTAAACATATCAGGTTAACGAAGACTGAATTTTAGGCCAGGATTTTTGCAGTGACATTCACCCTTGATGCCCTATCCTCATGTCCCTTTTTAGGGAGGAAAAAAAATGGACTCTCACAGCCTCAAAATTAAGTTCTGGGTTTTTTCCTATCAAACATTTGGAGGCGATTAAATAAGAGCTTAAACATACACTCAAAGTTTACCACTAAATATAGAGATACAGATTGAAATACTGTTAGACCAAGATCTTATATGCAAAAGTTATTTTTACCCTAGCACGACAAAGAGAGGAGACATTGGAACGGAGAACGTCCGGATGCCCAAGCAGCCTCCGGGGTGGAGAGGCGTTAGCACGCGGAACCCAAACAGCACAGGCCCTGCAGGCGTGCCTCGCAGCCTTCTGTAAGTCACAGATCTGAAACTTAGAGCTGAAAGTCATTATGAGGAGAGAGTGAAAGAACAAGGCCGTGGGTATTATTATTTTTTGCATGATGCTTGGATGTCCTGAAACCAGGTAATCCCAGCTAATCCTCTCTGTTCACATTCCCGTATCCGTAAAAAAGTGCCAGGATGGGCTCTACCCCCCCAAGTTGTCAGTGCTTTTAAGAGAATGGTAAGAAGGCACTGTGCAATCCAGCGCTGGGCTCATTTGGGGTCTGGAGGAGGGCTTCCGAATCACCCGCGCCGGCTTGAGAGACCGCAAGCGCTCTGTGAAACCCTGAGTCGGAAGCCCAACCCGCCTGCTCACTCTCCAGTTTTGCCTCCTTCACCCTCCGGGCTCTTTCCACCGGAGGTGTTGCGGGCTCAGCGGCGGGTGGACAAGATAGTGGGGAGCGAAGGCTGCGGGGCAGGCAGGGAGTGAGCGGTAGCCTGGGACCGGGCGACCAGGAGCGCAGAGCTCGCCGAGTCAGACTGCGTGGGCGAGCAGGTGCCAGAACAAAGGCCCCAGGGCTGCCCAGCTACCGCGGCCTTTGATGGGCAAGGACGTCTCCTCCCGGGGCTCCTCATTCGCATGCAAATCCAGCTCTGGTCCTCTTTTCTTTGAAGGCAAACAGAAGGATGTTTGTGTGTTTGTAAGGACGAAGCTTGCTTGAACAAGCCTTCCTCAATAGGCTGGGTCTCGAAAAATAAACCAGTTGGACAAACATTGGCCACCAGCTCTCCTCCTCCCAACTACAAAGTGTGGATTTGCTACAACTCATTAACCCGAGGCTTTTCTCCCCTTGGTCTTGTTTCTCTGCTCATCAAACGCCCCCGTAGAGCCTGGAGACAAATGACCGAAGTGCAGTCGGGAGGGAATTGCAGTTAATAGGGAGAGGGATATATTGGGGCTAATGGTTCAGGCAGCTCCGGGAGAAGGACCACACAAAAAGGAGCCTCCCCATTCAGGGCTCTGTTGTGCTGCTGAGATTTACTCTGCAGCTAGATTTAGCCAAATGTTATCTATTGCGGGGGTAATGAAGCCCTTATGGATTGAATTGCTCCTTGTACCACACATGGTGTCATGACCTTAGATTGTTTCTTGGTTGATTTCTTTTTTCTCTGTTGGGTAATTATTTTATTTCTTTAAAATAAGAAGCTAGCGCTTCTGCTCAAAAATGTGTTTCCTCCCCATCCCCATCCTGTGCCTTTATTTAAAGAGCCACTTCCCTTCCTCTTAAAAAAAAGAGAAAAAAAAGAAACTGGGGAGGAGAAGGGGAAAATTGTGAGAACCTTTCCCATTTTCTCTCCTTGAGCCACCTGTATGTTTGCATATTTCTCCTTTCCTGTCCCCCTACTCAGTGGCCCTTTCCTGCCCAAATTTTCTGCTGGTGGAACTGGAATTTGGGGGTGTATTTACTACCAAAATGCTTACAGTGAATGTAGTAAGCATCCATCTGGGGAAAAAGCTTCTGCCTTTCAGGTTTTTTTTTTTTTTTTTTTTTTAAGCCTACCAAATTTCTTCCTGTAGCCTATCCTCTGAGAGAACTGGGGGAGGTGTTTTTTTCTGATTGAAGGTGATTATTTTGATGGAATACCAGCCTGTGTCATTTATTAAGGGCTGTCTGAGGCCAGTGGTTGTGCTTGTTTTGTTTTGTTTTTCTCTCTCTGGCCCTGGTGGCTCTGATTTCCTTGCTTGACCGAGGACCAAGCTAGGAGCAGCTAATGGTGTTATTACAACTGCTAGAGATGGGTAGGGATCTGATCTTACTACCCAAAGCCAGGAATTAAGGACTCTAGTTTTGGTTTAAAAATTCTCTGCTCACACCTATTTTTATCACTGACCGAGAAAAGTCATTTGGGGATAACATTAAGGTCAGATCCGCATCAAACTCAATCTAAATCAGAAATGTGCCCAGCAATCCCTCCAGTATCTCTGGGCTCCTCCAGGGGGATAACCATGGGACACACTGGAGTGCCAGGGGTCCCCTTCCCCCTTTAGAGCTGAGCCAGACAAGGACAGGCCTGAGAAGCAGAGGACAAGTGAAGTGGGCCCAGCATTGTCAGCATCCATTCCTTTCTCTACTGGTTTCCTGGTGTTACAGCTGGGTCACATGTAGACACACACAGGCATGCACGCAAGCTCATTGCCCATCAGCTGCCGCTTGCCTCTCTTCTGCCCTATGATTTTGTAATTAGGCATATGCTTTTTGTTGGTAAATGTGTTTGATGTCACGGCCAGTGAAATGTGGAGTGTTTTAAGGCCACGAATGTAAATGTGTAAATATGTTTAGTGTAAAATCTGGCCCTTCGACTTTAGCAATAAATACCCTGCCAATTTGGATACGATTACATTTGACAGAAAGATGGAGAATCTGATCATGACCAGCTGCTCTCGGCTCCTTGGGACTCTTACTTTCCCAAACGAATTCACTTTTCAGATAATTTCTTTGCATGTCACATCTCTCTAATCACATCTTTCCCTTCATGTGAACAGCTTGGGCTCCCTTTTATTGTTGACCGCTCTGGCACGCAGGAAACTTCCTGGTTCATTCCTCCTGCTCCTTTACCAGGAAAATACTATTCAGTAACAAGCAGAAACACACATAGAAAATAACTGGTTGTTATCATCAGTCCCCCTTTTTGAGTTCTGAGCCTCCAGGGGGGATAAGAAACGAGATAAAGACTATGAGTTTCTGGCCCACATTTATAATTTCCTTGTCTTTATCATCATCATCATCATCATCATCATCATCATCATCATCATCGTCATCATCCTGACTTTAGAAACTGTTTTGAGCTAGTCTAACTTTTAAAAGTAAACATTTTAGGAAATATACATACAGATAAATACACAAAATCTCAATTGCTTTTCACAAGGTGAACACACCCTTGTTAACAGCATCAGTTATCAGAATCACTTATCTGTCCATTCCATTCACTACCCTCAGCACACACCAACTTTTAAAAAGGATTTTCACTAATATTTCTCTCACCCACACTGAAATAGGACAAGAATTATTATTTTTTTTTAAAGATTTATTTATTTTGAGAGAGTGAGAATGAGAGAGAGAGAGAGAGTACATGAGAAAGGGGAGGGTTAGAGGGAGAAGCAGGCTCCTTGCTGAGCAGGGAGCTGGATGCGGGACTCGATCCCGAGACTCCAGGATCATGACCTGAGCCGAAGGCAGTCGCTTAATCGACTGAGCCACCCAGGCGCCCAGGACAAGAATTATTATTGATCCCATTTTACAAATAAAGATATTAAGGTTCAAAAAGATATGAAATGACTTGTCCAAGGTCACAGCTACTGGGACTTGAGTATTTAAATCCCATTTTGTTTCTTTACATCACACTGCCTCCTTGTAGCCATCATTGTGATTTATTAAACACCCACTGTGGCGGGGCAATTGCCTTAGAGGTCACTGTGTAGAACAGTCATTTATTTCTTATACACTTTTTGCTTCCTTGCTAGATCCTGCTCTCTGTCTCCTCTACTCAGGAGATACCCCAGCCCCTTCTTGTAGATACATTTGGAATCTGTAGCCCCCTTTTTTTTTTTTTTTACATGTGTCAGCTTTGTCTACCTAGTTCTATATGACACTCCCCTAGCATCACTTTTCTGATCTTTTTTGCATCAGCAATCTTTAAAATATTACATACACACCTACCTCACCTTTTCACCTTTGTACTATTTGTCCACTTCCTCTGCTTTTCTCCCTAATTTTTAATGGTTGAAATCTGCCAAACTGACAGAATTTTTTTGCTAAACTGCTAAGCCTGTCTTTATAACCAGACTTAAGGTCACATTGTCTCCATGTGAAGAAAGGAAGAATATGTAAGAGTCTGATCAACTGATTTAACATTTAATGAGAAAGCAAAACATTTTTCTCAGAATCTGCCCCCCCCAATCCAGACACATTCTTGAAAACTTTTCTGTCTTTAAACAGCTGTGTATGATATGAGTTAGCAGGTCCTTTTAGCCCTTGCACAATTAACCCATTGCACTAGAGCCTCCCAAAGGACAGTCTCACCTGGAGCTGAGAACTGCCTGGCCAGAGGTCTCCCTAAAATGATTTTGTGGGGAGGAAATTCCAGGCCACCTGCTGGAATCACATCTTTCTGTGGATGGGAACAATGCATCCTTGCCAGTTGCCACCAGAATCCTTACTGAAGCCCAGCCTCCTCAGGCAGTTGCTGGGGCCAATGCTTTGTCCCTTATGAGGACATCCAAGCTGGAGTCAGGGCAAGGATTGCTTCTGACTAATTGTAAGCTGCAGACCGCAGAGGAAAGTGTATATGATGCATAAACACTTTCTCAGGGACAGTGCTCAATGCAAGATAACATTGATTTTCTAGAGAAAGGGTGTTTTTGTAAAACCAGAAACATTTTTTTTTAAAGATTTTTTTTTTTTTTTGACAGAGACACAGTGAGAAAGGGAACACAAGCTGGGGGAGTGGGAGAGGGAGCAGCAGGCTTCCCGTTGAGCAGGGAGCCCAACGTGGGGCTCGATCCCAGGACCCTAGGATCATGACCTGAGCCAAAGGCAGACGCCTAACAACTGAGCCACCCAGGCGCCCCAACAATTTTCTTTTAGATTTTACACTGTAAAAGACAAAAAAAAGCCCATCTCAGGAAGAAAAGCCATCAGTTAATATCAGAGGCTTTAGAGAAACTGGAAAGTTCTGATTCTGAATTTGAAATCAGGAGACAGTCTGGAAGGTTATTTTCCTATTCTTAAAATGAGAGTGACTCAATTTTTCAAGATGGGGTGTTTCCCTGGATGTAGGATCTTACAGTTAAAGAAGGATCTGTCTAACCTTTAAGAAGAATACAAGCTATATGGAATGTGTCCATAGGCCCAGTGAGTCTGTTGAGCACCAG